GGTCACACTCAAGATGTTACAGTCAACGGCTCACTGTCCAAGTGGACACTAGTGATGTTAATCTAGAATGTATTATTTGCTTTATAACCAGCACTTCTAATCCATCTCTTCTGTATGAATATGTGACATATTGTATGTTTCCTTGCATAATGAAAATCAAGTTCATGTCAATTTTGGAGCAAGGTGAACAGCATTTGACATATTTTTTGTGCCATCCAGAGGGACCTCAACAGGCTTGAGAGGTGGGCCTGTGCAAACCGTATGAAGTTCAACAAGGCCAAGTGCAAGGTCCTGCACGTGGGTCGGCACAATCCCAAGCACAACTACAGGCTGGGCGGAGAACAGATTAAGAGCAGCCCTGAGCAGAAGGATTTGGGAGTGTCAACTGATGAAAAGCTCAACATGAGCTGACAATGCACACTTGCAGCCATAAAACCAACTGTATCCTGGGCTGCATCAAAAGAAGTGTGACCAGCAGGTCGAGGGAGGTGATTCTCCCCCTCTATTCTGCTCTCATGAGATCCCACCTAGAGTACTGTGTTCAGCTCTGGGGTCCCCAACATAAGAAAGACATGGGCCTGTTGGAGTGAGTCCAGAGGAGGGCCATAAAGATGATCAGAGGGCTGGAGCACCTCTCCTATGAAGACATGCTGAGAGAGTTGGGGTTGTTCAGCAAGAGAAGGCTCCAGCGAGATTTTAATAGCAGTCTTCCAGTACCTGAACAGGGCCTACAGGAAAGCTGGAGAAGGACTTTTTATCAGGGACTGTAGTGACAGGACAAGGGGTAATGGGTTTAAACTAAAAGAGGGTAGGTTTAGATTAGATATCAGGAAGAAATTCTTCATTATGAGGGTGGTGAGGTACTAGAAGAGGTTACCCAGAGAAGTTGTGGATGCCCCATTCCTGGAGGTGTTCAAGGCCAGGCTGGATGAAGCTTTGGGCAACCTGGTAGTGAAGGGTGTCTCAGCCCCTGGCAGGGGGCTTGGAACTAGATGATCTTTGAGGTCCCTTCCAACCCAAACCATTCCATGATTCTGTGATTATGTCAGATCCTTGGAGAAGTGACAAGACAAATAATAGTATGAGAGCCCTGGATTTCAGATGAGCAGACGTTAGCTTGTTCATGGAATCCTGTCGAGGAGTGTCCTGCAGGAGAAAGGTGCCTGGGACAGCTGGATGACCTCCAAAAACAACCTACTCAAACCAAAAGAGCAGTCCACTCTGACATATGGAAAGTCATGCAGAAGGTTAGCATAGAGGAAAAAGGAATACACAGAAAGTGGAAGCAGGGATGGGCTACTCAGGAGGAAAAGAGACACGACCTGAAAATGACGAGTTGAATTAAAAACCTGGAGATGCTGTGGAATCTCCATTTCTGGATATACTCAGAACCTGACTGGATATGATTCTGAGCAACCTCATTCAAACTGGCTCTGTGCTGTGTGGAGTTGACTAGATGACCTACAGATGCCCCTTGAAACCTAAACCTATCACTCTGTATTACTACTGAAACTCATTCAACTGAGAAGTATTTATTTAACACTTGCACTGTCTTCATCCTCTCACACAATTAAAAAATCTGTATCACTGAAATGAGGAAATAAGTGAACAAATTATTAACAAGCGAAAGTATTATGCATACAAAGGGCTACTTGGAAACAAGAGCGAAAGAGGAATTTGCCTTGCATGAAGAGGGGTAAAAGAATACTTTGGCAAGCATTATAGACGTAGGAAGTTCTGAATTCTGTGCTTTATATTAATAGTTCCTATAAATTTATGTCTGTAATGAAAAAAAAGTTCATGCTTTTTAAAATCACTACAAAATTTTTAAAAACTTCACATAAATAAAACCTACATGTAAAAAAATATTTCTATAAAGTGCCAAACTGTAGTAGTGCTACCATGTCTTACTTATTAGGTATGCATTTTGACAGGCCCAAAATAACAAGTTTCTTGTAACCACTTTAAGAAACTACTTCTATTAATTCCAAAAAAAGCATGAATGTATAGTCTGTACTATTTTCCCATTAAAATACATACTAGGTAGTTTATTAATTCCACATTTTTAATAGCTTCAAATCCTTTAATTTCCTCTATAAAGTCACAAATCAATGAATGAAAGATAGTTTCAATAAAAAGGGTTGCCTTTTGAACTTCTAATCTTCTGATCCAAATCACAAAAGTGACTGAAAATTGCAATTTTTGCTCATGTAAAATGAATACATTATCTCAATTCAGTTCTAATGTCTGTGCTTTAACATCCCCCCCAACCCCCCACCCCAATCTGTCACAGAAATCTGATGTAATTTGAGGAAAGTAAGCCCTAAACAAATAAGCAAAGTGCAAACTAAAACCACTGCCAGTCACATCCTGGGCTACATCAAAAGAAGCATGACCAGCAGGTCGAGGAAGGTGATTCTGCCCCTCTACTCTGCTTTCAGGAGACCCCACCTGGTAGTATTGCATCCAGCTCTGGGACCCCCAGCATAAGAAAGATATGAACCTGCTCGAGGGGGTCGAGAGGAAAGCAACAAAGATGATCAGAGGGCTGGAGCAGCTCCCCTATGAAGACACGCTGAGAGAATTGGGCTTGTTCAGCCTGAAGATGAGAAGGCTCTGGGCAGACCTTACACCAGCCTTCCCGTATGTAAGGGGGGCCTACGGGAAAGATGGGGCATGTTTACAAGGGCATGTAGGGATAGGACAAGGGGTAATGGGTTTAAACTAAAAGAAGGTAGATTTAGATTAGGTATTAGGAATAAATTCTTTACTGTGAGGGTGGTGAGGCACTGGCACAGGTTGCCCAGAGAAGTTGTGGATGCCCCCTCCCTGGAAGTGTTCAAGGCCAGGTTGGATGGGGCTTTGTGGGAACCTGGTCTAGTGGAGGGAGTCCTTGCCCATGGCAGGGGGGTTGGAACTAGATGATCTTTAAGGTCCCTTCAAACCCAAACCATTCTATGATTTTGGTGGTTATTACTGGAACGGTATATTGCTAGGGCTTTATAATTAAAACCTGTCTCCATCTGCCCAAAGAACTTCAAATCCTTGGCACATTAATTGGATTACTTCTTACATTGAACGAAATAATCTTTGAAGATATATTTCTTTTAAAACACAGCCTCATTATACATTGTGGACTTTAATAAACCATAAATCTCCGATCTTCAAAAGAAAAAAACCCAACAACTTAAGAACATCAGAATGTTTAATATGAAAATACAATTTCACATTGTACCTTTGCAAAAGCTGCCGCAGTCATCTGAACTCGTCCCTCATCAGAAGCGTAGATTTTGAGATCATGTCGGTAAGTGCTATGTAATCTAAGCAAACCACATCCAGGAAATCCAGCATAATCTCCTACCAAACAAATATTTTGCTCAAACTTTCATTTGGCACTTGGTTATCTTCAAAACAGATTTATGCTATTCAATACATTTTTTTTTTTTTTTTTTTTTTTTTTTTTTTTACCTTGTCCACCTGGATACATACACCTGAAAGCCCTTCCGAGCTCCTCTGCTTGAACCCTGCCTGCAGGGGTCAATTCTCCTCCCCATTTTAGAACCAGAAGCAGGGATGGCTCATTTCTTCTATTATCTAATTGTACACAGAGAGAGGAGTTTAGTAGTTAAGTGTATTATAAATCTTTGGGGCTTCTTTGCATATGAACAAGAATATTTGGACTGTGCAGGGCTTCTGTAAAGGATCTCTTCAACATTATGACTCTTCAGTGGCATTTTAACATTAAGAAAGTATTGAACTGGAGAAAAATTAAAACAAACTGGCTGCTAAATACCCTACAGTTATTCCAGTCAATAACCATGGGTCAAGGACTAGAAAAGCTTATATAAGTTTTAAAGACAGCAATAAATGTTGAGTTGGATTTTCCCAGCCCCAAAGCAGCATTTCTGGTGAATCACTGAAGCCTCTTTTCACTCTACTTTTCTCTTACAAAAAAGCAGTGTTAGAATACAAATTTACTACATACTCTTAGGTGTACAATTCAGCAGATTAAGAGACTCTGAATATCTGCCAACAATACAAATATTTATTCAAAACAACAAATTCCTTCTTCTTAACATCAAGACGTTATACCACTAGTCCATGACCATTTAAACATACATGATATTAAGTGATTAGGTGCAAATATAATACAATACCTTCCTCTTCACTGGAAGTCTTTGGGCAACCATGAGGAAGATACGTTAATTGAACTTTGCGATTTATGCCTGAAAAATGCCCATACCTGAAGCAGCAAGAGGGAAAAGCAAGAGGGGAAAAGGGAGAGAAACATTTTAAATATTTTCCTCCAAATCTGCTATGCTCCTATAACAGGATATAATAAATCTATGCTGGTCATTAATTTATGCATTTGACCACCATTTACTGAAGCAGTGCTTAGAACAAACCTAATTCAACAAGCACAGAATGACTACAGAAATAACAACCATTCTACAATAAAACATTTTAAATTACTGTCTACTACTTTTTTTTCACAACACTGAACATAAAACTGAAAAAAAAAAAAGGCAAAAAAAAAGAGCATTTGCAGATTGGACGAGTAATTTATCTGTTCAGATCCACAACTACAGTGGCTATCACTATCCAGAATCTCATCTGGCAGCGTAGATGGCCGCTATTTTATTAGTCCATTAAGTTCTCAAGCAGAACCCCGTATTTCAAACAATTGTCATAAATTTCAATAACTGTCTTTGCCCTGATTTTTTTTAGATTAAAGTTACCTACTACCATTTAGAGTTCCAAGACCCTAGATATTTACAAACCTTGAAGCCTTAGGTTTTTATCTTGTCTTTAAAATTATTAAATATTTCAGGCTTAATACACAAAACCTTATTATTAGAATCCTCCAAGTTTGCTGTACACACACAGTGAAAGTTCTTACTGGTTCCATCAGACTTCATTATGTCACACACTGCAAGAAGCAGACCCTGCCCTCAAATACTTTAAAAACATATAAGAAGATAAAATTTGAGATCAAAGAAAGTAACTTTTTCATGTGGAAAGTATACTGAGATACTAGATAAAGCAGTAAGTTCAATTAAAAACACAAGGGGAAAAAACCCCACATAGAGATGGCCTAGTTCTCCTTCATAATGTCAAACATGACATCCTTTCTCTTGATAACCCCTGTGCTTGAATTAACACATCATTACGTATTTGGTAACCATCGCAATCCAAGCAGTAACTGGTCAAACAGGTCAAAATAGCAGATACAACTTTATGCTATGAAGCCTGAAAATTAGACACTTACATTTCTAACACAGTCTTCAGCTGCTCAAGTTTTGCTTTACTTTCTTCAATTTCAGAATCATTGTTTTGCCCAAGTTCTACAAGGAGTTGCCTTGCTATATCAAGCACTTCCTAAAGAAATGAAATATAGGATTTACTTAAATAATTAATCTTCTACCTATAAAATAAAATACCACAGCAAGAAAATAAAGACAAACTTGCCTGTAACTGTTTTGGTTTTTTCAATTTTAGTTTTCCAGATTTATATCCATCACATTTTTCAAAGAGATCAAAAAACCTTTAAAAGAAAGAAGTGATTAAAAAAAAAAAAAAAGTAGTTAATAAGTTAAAATACTGCGTGAACAAGTGGCTCTTAAAGCGGTCTGAAATTAGCACCTTTACACTATTTGAAAAGCATGTTAAAACCTGCACTACAAAGGTTAAACCAACATTTATTCAAATCTCATTTCCCAAGAAAGTCTTCAACATATTACAGAAGAGCACTAAAAATGTTCTCTTACTGACTTGCTAAGTGTTAAAAAAGTAAAAGCATTCAAGATATCAAATGACGTAATATTTGAATATATAGCTATGTAAATTCTTAATCTTCAAGAATGATCCTGAACAGTAGGGACCAAAAACACCAAATAAGCAGTCCTACACATTTACAGCAAGTATGTCTGAATACAAGAATCTAGTCCCAAAACAAATAATTACTTCTTTATCGAAATTGCAACTAATTCCAGGTCAATTATGTAAGGCATTTTATGAGTGCTAACATAAAAGTTGTATCTACAAGAAATTCAGAGTCATCAAACTTTGATGACTTTTACTTTTGACAAAAGTAAAAGACAAAAATGTGATGCAGTAAGATGACAGCTCACAGAAGAATGGTTATGATGAAAAGAGAAAGGCAGAAGTCATGGTCAAACAGTGAACCAGAAATATTTTCTGCTGCTTTATTTTGAATAAAGACATCTATAGTGTTAAACGCATTTTTGTTAAGATCAAGCAGGACTGTTCACAAGGCACAGTATATGATGAAGGAACTCTGCACAAGTAATTTGACAGTCCTATTAGAAAGAGAGGTGCATGCTTCTTAATTAGCTGCAACATCAGTTGGATTTAAAAGAAAACAAAACAAAAAACCAACTTGTATCATGATATTCCTGCTCAATTTGTTGCTTGCACATCCACAAGAAGTGAGCTCTGCTCTAAAGCATCCAAACTAATTTTTACCAAGATTCTACTTACTTCTGATGTTTTACTTCCATTTTCATTTTTTGTTTTGGTGTTCGGTCCCCATGGCGTATTACAGCTATAACACATCTAAGCTCCATCCTGAAATTTCAAGAGAGTTATATTTCACAATTCTATATATGAAGGTCTTTTATTTAATATTAAAACCACCATGAATCAAGACAATCGACAAAGTGGTAGTTATCTGATATAACTACAGAAGTGATGGAAGGACGTGCAAGAATATAAGGTTAACTGAAAATGATGTAAGGTATAAAATACAAATATTGATTTTAAGACTTGGGTAACTACAGAATATCTATTTTAAGTAGTTTATAAAACAACAATTTTGAGGTTCATTAAATGAGAGAGCATGTTTATTAGAAATGCATATTAAGTTGGTGCTGGAACAATGATTAGCAGTGAAGGAAGCTATGCATAAAAGACACTACACTTGAAAATCTGCTGTTCTATACTCAGCTTGACTAAGGGTCAGAAACTCTGATTGCTGGCATAGCAACTGTGATTCCTTCCTTGTTTTCATCACACAAAACAAGTGTTCATAGGCCAAAATGGGAACACCTTGTGAAGAGAAAAAAAAATTCACACAAAAGTTACATGAGGAGTTTGCACAATTCAGATGTAGCTACTGTTTTCTTACATTGTTCCAGAGGTGGTTGGCACAATAGGGATATCTTCAGCTTCCAAAGGAATTGACCATGGTATCTGAAACTGGGGAGCAAGTTCTCTCATTATGATATTTCTAAAAAAAGGAGTTAAAAAGAAAAAAAAAAAACCACTAAGTTGAAAGCACAGCTTATACAACGCATACAAACTACAAACCAAATAGATTACACATGCATTTTTATCAATGTGGTTTTAGAGTACTAGTGGTCATAAGTCTCTAAATGCATATTTTTCTTTTAATTGCATAATAAAAACCTACTTAAACAACAATTTAAAGCTACGACAACTGCTACAGAGATAACACTAGCCTAATGGCCCTGGATTTGTAAGAAACCTGGTGTTGAACTCCAGTTCCTAAAAGAGTTCCTTGGGCATGACTTAGTCTTGTTTGTTTAAATATTCAGATACCTGACTCCATTGCCTAACTGAAAGTTCCTGATAATCAGCAAGTCACTCTCATCAAAGAGTAACTGGATTTACCAGTATGAAATCCACAAACACACAAGTATACACCAGCTTCAGATCAAGGACAATGTACATTAATTTGGGCACATATTAAACAGCAGCAAGCATAACCATCCAGTGGTGCTTCTCTACTTGAGAAAAATCTCAACTGCTTTTAAGAACTTAAACCAGCTTTCAAAATACTTATTCAGTTAGCTTTAAGTGTTCACAAAATACTCAGACTCAGATGTTTTGGATGATTTTAGGAATAGGGAATTTATATAGTATTTATTTATTGATTTAGGATTCTTTTTAATATTTTAAAGATTCTTTTCAATATTTATTTTATTTTTTAATTTAAGGACTTATTTTATGTGATATTTCGTTCTACATGATTAATTTAGGAATAAGAAGTATATAAACTATAGTCACATACAACAGAATGAATAAGCAAAACTCCCGAAATAAATCAGTAAACTCTTACCCCAGTATCTTAGCACAATCATCATAGTATTTCATGGAGTTTTTCACAAAACTGAAGCCATTCACATCACAGACATAGGACTGTCCATTAGCACGCAGCAAATCAAAGCCACAAACTGTTTGCTGTTTTTAAGAATAAAAGTCAATGATCAAGTCATTGATCAGCTTCCTTAGGATTGCTTATTCTAAATAAACTTTGTATTTTAACATGGTATTCATCTGAAAACATAACAAAAATGTGACAGATTTTATACTTCGTACTTCTTGCCAGTTCCATGTTAGTTTGGCTCATGTCATGTAAACATCTTCTCATTTTTAACTTTGCATCCCCAACTTGATTTTATCCTTCCTACATATCGCTAGCAGTATCAGTATTGAAGTCCACATGCACGCAAACTTAACCTTCAAGATCTACCGTACAAGCAATGATGAGCCGACAAATTCCCCATTCTGACAGTGGTTTCCTCCTACACATAGTTTTTAAGGGTGGCAGGCGAGAAATGACAAAATATTGAAAAAACATTTTTGTCCAAATTTAAATTTGACAGGATAGTTTTGACATTGACATCATATTGACATTATTAGTACAGGATAGTAGATGCTATTGCAATGGATTACTTTTCTAGATCTCAAAGTCCACTTTGCTAGGTGACAGAGGTTCACACCCTACAGGCTGCAGAATACCATCATAGTTACACACAGGTAATGAGACTGACTGAAAGACAACCTTTTAATAAGACAGGTGAAAGAAGGGTAAGAGATTGGATGAAGTTTTGAACAAAGATATCTTAAACTACACAAAACTGGAAACTACCAAACACTTCAGATAAGGACCAAGTCATGTCAGTACCAAATTAATATTTAATTGGGCCGATATAAACTCTAGGTAACAAAAGTTACAAAAACTTAACTACTGAAATTGTGTTTTGCTGACTTAGAAACCATCAACAAAATGTGTGAATATTATGCATAGAACAGACACACTGTGGACTAGCAAATCACAATAGCCACACGTGAATTCAGGAAACTCAGGCAACCCATCCAGAACTTTCCTATGCATTAAAGGAAGAATTCTTCAAGATCAAAAGAAGATGTGGATGTGGAAGTTCAACTTTTCACCTTCTTAGAAGTTCTGCAGCAATTATCACTGCTGGGTCTGTACACTAAAACCCTACAGAAGTTTCATGTGGTAAACAACTAATTAACACTAAATGTTTGATCAGATAGGAACACAATTGGCTTACTTTAAATGCAAGGCATACTTTCCAAGCAATTAACTTCTCTCTTGCATTCAGGATAACCGGATACCTCACTTCTTTTCCTTCACTATCTCGTTCTACCTTGCCATCCAGAGCTGGAGACTTCCGGGCTTCAGCATGAGCATAGTCTGGGCCTACCGTGTACACCTTTATTGAAAAACATGAACTCTTGATTCAGTGTAATTGAAGTACATTACATATATGAACACATTTTGCTAAATTTATGTCAAATGTGATAATGACTTCAAAAGATAGTAGCTCCTTTCATCACTGAAAATGTCACTCTAAAGTACGTTCTTCAATGGCATCCTCTGCCTTCAGAGAACACTCATCATTCACTGACAACCTAGGATAAAACAAGAGGAGCTGGAGTGGAGGTAAAGAAAAAAAATTATAAAACTTGTGAATACAAATGAATTCCTTAATTATGGTGGTACAAAGGTAAAGAATAATGTTTTCCTCTCCAAAACATCTGCAGAACTTGGAGAGCAGATTAATTTGAGAATTATTGCAGTTTACTTGATTATGGAAATCTGGCTGCAGGACTAAGCAACTATCTTTATTAAAAATATTTTCATACTTTAGGCAGGACTAAACAAAGGAAAGATCTGCCCAGTTTTAGCATGACAAGGCCAGGGCTTGAGAGAATGATTGTGCTATCTGCTCTGCCACAGTTTTGGTGCTCACTGAAAGGACTGGGGCATACGCTAGAAGAGACTTGTCAGCAGCTCTCAAAAATGGGCTACTGTCACTTTAAAAACACAACTCTAAGCTCTGATAAAAAAGTATTCAACTAAAGCAAGTGATTACAAATACTGCCAATTTAGTAAATTCAGCCAAGAGGCTGAGTTGGGTGAAGCTGCCTAATATAAAGCTGACAGTGTTGTTACTTGAAGAAAATCCATTATTTACTTGGGGTTTTAATGTTCACAGCTGCTGCTTGATGACTACAGTACAAGTAGTCAAAATAGTCCCCACCCCTCAATTCATTTGCATCTCTTCAGGTTGCAAGAAACTCTTCTCTTTGGGAACAGTTTGTAAAGCTCTTACACAGTTGTCTGTAAACTCAGATTAACCTATTGCAAAGTGTTGCACAGTACATCTGAAGAGTATAGCTTATGAAAACATAGCAACTTAACAGGGAATTTGAGAACATAAAATGAGCATTTCCCTCATGTCACCAAGTGGAAGAAGTTGACTGCACTTGATAAAAGGGCTCTTTAACCTCAGGTTGGATTAGATCTCACACTCTTTAAATCTCCACTTTTTGTCTAAATACAGTGAACTTCCATGCATATTGTAAAACACTTGTTTCACATGTTTTGCAATGGGCTTAAAATAGCTGGAACTAACACAAAGGGAAAGAAAGCAATCTCCATCTATGGCTGGCTTAATACCTATTCTGTTACTGCTCTATTTTAGCACTCTTTGACACCTATTCTTTACATGTTAGGAAAATAAATGAACAAAAAAGTGAAAATAATTACAGATAAAGTCAATGCATTATTTTCTGCAATTTCATATAATTTTAGTAACTTTTATTTATTAATTAGAATACTAAGATAGTTGGTAAAATCTATTTGAATTAGAGATTTCTTTATAACCTTCAGATACAATACCTAGGCAGCATCTATCTGTTTACACGGAAAAGTATATGCTGTTTTGGCATTAACACAGTACAAAAAAGAAAGACAATGTGTTGCGTAATAAACCTCCAACACTTGATGTCAACAACATAAGCAAAGCTGTTTTACATTACAAGTACTGTGTTTAGCTAGAATAAGAATTACATTCTTTACTTATGAACTGTGTCAAAACTTCATTAAAATTAATCCTTGACAAAATGATATACTTTCATCTTTAAAACTGACAAGCTCTTGGAGTACTTGATTGTTCTAAATATAAATAAGAATGCACAGTTGTCATACCTTCACATCAGTGCCATCTGTAGGCATGAATTCCTCATAAATATAGGAGCCTGTTTTTCTCACACTGCTTTCAGGGGAATAAACACTGCTTCTGCTGCCAATCTGAAATGAATATTTTTCTATTAATAAACTCATAGGCTAATGCCTGAGAAGCTTTAAAACTCCTTACAATAACACACTTGTACTGAGAAAACATCTCCTGTACCAAATGAAGCAAGCAAGTTTTGATCGTTCCCAAAAGATTTTTCTAAGATTCTAAAAGTGCACTGTACACTTCTTTTACCTACAAGAATCTGCAGTGGCTGACAATCTACTGCAAGGAACAATCTACATGTTGTCCTGAAATGCGTTTCTCTGATCTGCCACTACTCAGCAAAAGCAAGACATGACAAAACAGGTCCCAGCTAACATATGGATAGGACAGAATTACTCTGCAATTCTGTTAGACATCTACAACTTTTCAATAGCTTTGTACAACATCCTTACCTTTCGAAAGAGCCTCTGGCTTCCACCTCCAGCAGATGTTGGATAATAAATGTAAACATTGTGGTCCTCAGCACTAACTGGCTTTTCTACAAAAGGCTTTTGGAAAATTTCTCCATTCACTTCCACATGATCTTCTCCTTCAATCAAGTTGCATTCTGAAGAAACAGTGTGAAAAACAGAGATGTAATAATATATTCATGGAATGAAATTATTAGAGATTTGAGATAATTTTGTACGTTCAAAAAAAAAAAAGACTACATTACATTTTTGGTTCACTGATTTGTTACTGACTGCACAAAGACTTGATGATCATGTGCTAAACACATCTGCTGTACCATGCGTATATTATGTTACTTTAATATTACATTCCAGGATTTCTGTTGATTCCCTCAGTGTCAGACAGGAAATCATCTCCTACAGATGCATAAGCTTGCATGGGTATTTTTTTGGAAATGTTTTGTAGACAGGGGGTAGGGCTGTTTGTCTTTCCTCCATGCCTGTCTCTGAAATATCAGGGGGATGGCAGATGGACAGCAACTATGCTGTGGTGCCAGATGCAATAGTACTTTTAACAGGCTGAGAAGTGTCTCATACTGTGTGATTGATGCATCTTGCACAGAGAACTAGGTCCTCTGGAATGAGGGATCAGTAATCTCTTCACTACTGGTTGGCTGTTTGCAGTAGCTTTTATTTGAGTTCTGTAGCATAAATGAGTAATTGTCCCCCTAGATTATCCAGACCTTTTAACTTAAAATTCCCTACCTCTTAAGAGCTACACCACAGTAATAGTTCAATTTTCTTTATTTTTTCTTATCTCTTACTCTTGTGTCTTGACCTGACATTGCAATCTCCTATTCGTTTTAGTAGAATAAAGCTGTTAAGTTTGTTTTCAGGTACAGAAAAAATTAATTCCAATTTATATTCAGAGTATATAATTTGCCGATCTGTCTGGACTAGATTTCCCTTACATGGTTGCTTGTACTTAGAAGAGAAAGTATTCAATAGCTTGACTTGTTTCTGTCAATATTACTTTCCTAAGTAAAATTACTAATTATTGTGGGTAATGTAACATCATGAATGCTGCTGTCTTTGGTGACATATTAGAATCTCAGTTTGAGTTTTGAGGCCTTTATATTCTAGTTGTTCTATGATGGCTGTGCAAGGATTGTGATCCCAGGCTTCAGAATCATGCTTTTCAGAGGCATACTTGTACTGCCTTCGGCTGGGATGGAGTTAATTTTCTTCACAGCAGCTGATATAGTGCTGTGTTTTGAATCTGTGATCAGAACAGTCTTGACATTTTCCTTATTGCTGAACAGGGCTTACAAAGCATTTTCTGTTTCACATACTGCCCCCACAGCCAGGAGGAGTTAATCCACAACAATACTTCAAATACCACAGAAGAAATCAACCTCTACACCAATTAATTAATTTTCTGGCAAGTGAAATATAGCTTTCCACTATGTACGTACTGTTCTTCAGTGGAAACAAAGAGATGGCAATGGTTGATATTTTAGTCATCAGTTTTTACCTTGGGGATTGTTTGGATCACGGTTCAGAACTGCATAGCGAGGAAGTAAAATGCCTTCAGCTTTAAGAATACTGTATACTTCTCTCCTAGAAGAAAAGAACAAAAGTTGCACAGTAAGACAGCAAATCCTGCCAATATTTGTATTTTACAGTCCATGAGTAAGGGAGGAGAAAAATACATATAATTTTTTTTTAAAATCACACAGGCTAAGATTACATATATAATAGTCTACTTATTAATATAATGCTTTAAAGGTTACCAACATAGCTGTACCTTTGCAGTGATCTCATCAATATCAATAAAAAATGTAATTTGCTATGCCAGTCCTGCCCTCTCCACTCTGGCAGTGCTACAGCAATTTACATAGAGCAATTCTCTTGTTAAAGGAGATTACTAAAATGAAGGGTTGAAAAAGTTTATACAAGACAGAAAGTGAAGGCATCCAAAATAGCAAGTCTTGTCACTGTTCAGAAGGCTCCGCTGTTTATCTATTTTGCTCACTATTGTTTTGTAATATTTGCTATGCATGATTGCACCCCCAGAAGAAAACTGACTTTGAATAACCACATGATCTTTGAATACCAACAACTTCTGTTAAGTATCCACTTAAAAGAAAAAAACACCTTTAGTAAATCATATCAATTCTACAATTATAGGAAGTTGTACAGTTGCTATACATACTTATGGTATACATATTTTCAGAGTTTAAACTTCTTTATTTGCTAAGCTTTAGACAAATGTATCACCAAATTTCTACCTTGGTAAATCTTCAGATGTATCAATATAAAAGTGGTTAAAGAAAAAACACACCTAAAGACATATCCCAGAAAACTATGCATCCATTAATAAAACACAACATTCACTGCAATTTTATTTAGACTACTGTACAATACACTGGAACTGTTGCTATGCAATACCAACAGATTGTCACAGTCTCCAACTTAAAAGTAGTTTGCTGTTTAAAGGTAATTAGTGTTACTTGCCTGTCTTGTATATGATACTGCATATTCAAGTCATTGATTATGAATGGACTCCTGAGTTTTGCATAGGCAACTGCTTTGTCCAGTGGAAATCCTAAAATATTTATTAAGGCAAATAAATTAAAACTGCAAGACCCAACACCAGTAAATAGTTTGGAACCTTCATATTCAAGCTTTGTAGTACAACCAGAGATATGACTGAAGTGGGAGGATACTCCCTCAACTATAGACACACGTAACGTCAGCTTAAGACTATCATGAAACTACAGTCTTATTTCAGTATAGGCTGCCAAAAGACGTGGTCCTGTCTTCAATTCCCTCCTTCTCACTCAACATGCCCTCCACTTACACAGGGCCAGAACTAAGGCTTTTAGTGCCTCTGCCTGAAAATAGGATTTTTAACTTCAGTCTACTCATCTCTGGTTCACTGCTCAGCCCAACAAAATAGCCCTAGATATTAGCAGAGATACACAAACAAGTGGCCAGAGACTCAACACTCCCATTGAGAAAGCAACTTGCCTCCACAGCTGTGGGACCAAGTATTAGATCACCATTTCCATTGGCTCCACAAATATTTACCAATGGAATAGCTATTTTAAATACCATGTCAGACAGGACCTTCTCAGCCAATGAAAACAGTAGCATTTAAAAAGCTTGAATTTTACAAGTCAGTTGTATTATATTAAACAAGACAAATGAATCACTTCAGGAAAATCCAATAAAACTACCAAGACAAAAAAAATTTAAAAGACCCTCAAACTGGTTAAACTATTTAATGTCAAAATATTTATGATATTATTAGAAGACTTACCTTTAGAATGAAAAGAAATGAGACAGTCACATAAAGGCCAGTTTTCTACTGGTTCATTCAAAATTACATCCTCTTCAAATATTACCACAGTTATGTACTTAAACATGGAGAGGCGTTCAAGAATTTCTTTCATTGGTTTGGACTTTGATTTCTTCGCCATTGAACAAATCCCAACTGCAATTTGTCTTTCTGGTGGCTACAGAGTGGAGGCGGGGAAAAGAAATTATTTTTAAGTTTTCTCAGAACATAACACAGTTTTAGCAGCACAACAGTAGAACAGATATTTTCTGTTAAAATTCACCTACTACCTTTAATTTAGTCTTTAATTAGGTAAATGGCTAGCAGGTAACAAAATGCAGCATGACAATATGCCACACTGCATCTTTATGAAAAATGTCTCAAAAAATGAAACTATTCAATAGCTTTACACTACTTTTTTTGAGTATTGTATCAGGAACAAATACACAGGATCAAAATTTAAGTCAGAAATGTCAAATCTGAATGAAATCATACTTATGGGTTACTCTGAAATTAACTAGCAATTCATTTTTAAACTATTTAATTTTTCTACATCTACTTAGTAGTTACAAGGCTTCTCATCTCACTACCTAATAATACAAGTGAATTATGAACAGGAAAACTAGTAAACAAGAAAATTCTGTTCTAGATTTCTGAGCTATTTTGTGCAGACAGTTCCACTTTTCTTCTGTATAGTCTGTGTTTTCTTTCATGTTATAAGCCTTTAAAAATTTCTTTACCCTAACGGTATTCCTAAGTGCAAAAGCCAACCTACTCTGTTTAAAAAGAAACAAACAAAAAAAACCCCAGAACAATCTTTTATTTCATCTTACTGTTCTTTCAAAACGTAGCCAATTACCTTCCCTTGCTAAAATGCACTGACTGAATAGAGCTGTCTGAGCTGCTAACTTCGCACTACTTCTCTGCATTTCCAAGTTATTGTTAATCATGGCGAAGTGTTTTACTAACACTTCCTTGCATTTACATTTTTTTAGACATTCTTGCAATCAGTGAAAATTTAACCTGGCTATTCCCTAAAGTGAAATGTTACAGACTAAAAGAACAGCAAAATACAGCTAAGAAAATGATTAAGAGTTTTTGTCTTAAATTAAAAATTGGTAAGCACAGTGCTAAAATACAATTCAGAACACTCTGCAAGGATAATAAACTAAGGTAGAACTTAAGATTAGCATGCACTTTCTATACACCAAGGTAAGGAAGAAGAATGGAAACATGTCAGATCTTAATGAAAACAACAAGATGAAAAAAGAAATGCTGAGTCTGTTCAAACTGAAAAATCAACAGTTAACTCTCCAACAGTTGATAACACACACAAAAGAAAAATCGGGTTTTTGCTACTAATTATCCAAATAAATTAAATGAAGGCTTATGCCATCAAGTTCACTCCCAAAATCCAAATCACATCTGCAAGGCTAGCACATCAACCTCAGCTGCCCTGAAACTCTGTATTAAAGTCAAATACATCTACTTCAAAGTTCAAGGTATACTTACTTTTCAAGTATGCTGCATTTCCAAAGATAACTGACAGATCATTTTCTGAATAGGAACAATTTCCCAATTCAGAACACCACTTCAGTATTAGACTTCTGTGATCTAATACCATTTCAAAGTAAAATAATGCTAGAGAACATACAGAATAGTAAACACGTGTCCCTACAATACATACAGAGTCATACTCTTCCTCCTCTTCTTCCCCATGGTCATAGAAGTGTTCATAATCTGTAGATCTGGCAGAGTCCAGTAATTCTTCTCCATCTTCTCCACCCACGAAGAATCTAGGAGGATCATTCTCTGTTGCCCTAACAGACATGGTTACAAGATCTACAGAGATCTATGTAGAAACTGCAGCCACTTTGGC